TGCTAATGACCCAAATTGTTTTAATTTGCTCATTAAAATTAAGATTCCCTTTAAACAGTTTGCCAAAACCAGGAACCACAGGAAACAATTCAACTGTCCAAAACAGCAGTGATCTGGCCAATCCTGCTGTGTAATCTTGCTTTTGATGCTGTTTTCTGTTCTTCCATTAGCCACCCAAGATAATTGCATTTGTTAAACTGCTTTTTTTCTCTTTCTCTGTCTTCATTGTGGCAGGCAACAGGCTATAAGCCCTCAGTTATCATAACTGTGGTTTTGTCCAAATCAAATAAAATTCTTAATTCCTAGATTCAGCTTTTCCATTTAGATATTCAATCTGCAAACTGAGATATGGTCCTTCTTTGAAGAAAGAGACAGACTATTGGTGTCTACGAAACATTGCAGGTGTGAGAATTGGATTTATTTATATATTGATTTGTGGTGGTGTCTTTGGTTGCTACAAATATTGTTGTAATATTTCTCAAATTAATTTTCAAAATTATTTTTGCTAAATTTAAACATATCATGTAAAAGAGGGAAGTACCCACCAATGTCCTTCCAACAACAGAAGGATAGAGCCTGTTAACAGAATGAATTCCCTCATATTCATACAGTCCTCCGTGCAATTTCTAGAAAACTAGAAAACATCTAGTTGCTTAATGTTAGTTTTAATTTGACATTCTCTGGAGAAGTTTCAGTCAAAGGTTAAGCGTAACAAAATACAGAGTTCTGATTTCAAGCCACTAATCAAGTTGGTGAAGAGAGACAGATAAGACAGAGCCAAACCACAATTCAGTTGTGAAATCGTTTAATCTGGGGTTCTGAAGAAATTGTAATAAAAATACAGAAGGCATGAAATGTGTAACAATGACAGTAGAAGCAACAAAAGGGAGCGACTGCAGATGAGAGAGGCTTTTGTTGTTGTGTCTTCAAATCAGTGTTACCTCCTGGCAATTGCCAGGACACGTTCCCTTAGTATTCTTGGCAAGATTTAGGAAGTGCTTTGCCATTGCCTTTTTCCTAGAGATAAGAGTGACCAGGTCAAGGTGATCCAACTGGCTTCATGGCTAAGATGGAACTAAAACTCAGAGTCTCCAAGTTTCTAGCTTGATGCCTTAACCACTACATGAAACTGGATCTCTCAAGAAAGACATACCATGTTACAGAATCACAGAATTATAGTGTTGGAAGGGATCTTGGAGATTTTGTTTCCTGCTCAAGCAGCAAAACCCTATACCACTTTAGACAAATGGCTGTCCTATCTCTTCTTAAAAACCTCCAGTGATCTATGTCTCTGGAGATTCTCAGCCATTCAGATCATGGTTGTCCCAAAGGTGCTTTTTCAAGAAGCAACTGGACTTTCTTGGGTTTTTTGAAGACATTTTGTTTCTCATCCAAGAAGCTTCTTTAGTTCTGACTGGCTGGTGATTTGCATTCTTGTAGAGAGTCATTGAGGCCACTTGGAGGTTATCTGTGTCATCAGGGTCACCTGAATAGTGCAAATGGGTGTGGAGCCTTCTTGGAACTTTGAAATGCAAATGACTAGCTGTCTGCAAGGTGTATAAATCCTTCCATTCCCCATCATCCAGTCAGAGCTAAAGAAGTTTCTTGGATAAGAAACAAAACTTCTTCAAAAGAAAAACAAGAAAGTCCAGTTGCCTCTTGAAAAATCACCTTTGGGATTCTAGTGATGGAACACCCATAACTTCTAGAGGCAGGTCAATCCATTTATTAATTTTTCTGTCAGGATATTTCTCCTTAGTTCTAGGTTAGTTTTCAACTTTATTAGTTTCCATCCATTGCTTCTTGTACTGCCTTCGGGTGCTTTGGAGAATAGCTTGACTCCCTCTTCTTTGTGGCAGCCCCTTAAATATTGGATCACTGCTATCATGTCACCCTTAGTCCTTCTTTTCATTAAATATATAACATATATGTACAAAGAAAGCTATTATCGCCCTTTCTGCATTCTGCAACTGTTTCATGATTAATTATGTGTCTCTTGTTTTTCCTGATATTCTAATTCTCTTCTTTCTAGGGCTGGACAACAAACTCATATTCTCCACCAGCCAATTTAGAGAGACGAGTAGCTCTCTGCTCATAAATGTTGGGGAAAAAAAACATATTGCTTGAACAAAGTTAACAGTTTTCTGCTTCTCAGCCTCAGTTCTCAGCAAAGTTTCCAGGGCTAGCAGTCTTTCTTTAATAGCAATTGAGAATTAATGGAGTGTCATCTACTAGATTAAGATTTGTCCTATTTGTATTTTGAGGCAATGGTGATTTTCTAAATAAGATGAAAGTAGACCAGTACTCTGGTTGTTAACCTTGTTCTCAATTACTCATCCTAATTGAAATATGTGTTGAGAGTTTCAATTGATTTCTTCTTCTTTTGCCATTACACTCCTTCCCGAATACCACAGAACGTTAGTGTTCAGCTGTTCTAGGTAATACACAGAGCATATAGCAAGAGCAAAAGGAGAGGAGCATCTTTCCACTTGTAATTTCTTCCCACTAATCCCAGTTGTGTGAAATGTGCAGTACTCATAATAGGTGAAGGGAAAATACTGAAAATGCTATGGTTGGAAATTGACAGTCCAACCTTAGGTATTTTGGGATAGTACAAGGCAATTGTACACCCTAATTTTCATTCCTCAAACCCTCAGTAATGCAATAGTTCAAATGAAGATCATCACATACAAGGGTCAGTGAGGAGCCCCACCATTTCTATGTTGTACTGTAACATCAGCAAACAGCTGGTCACTCAGAGCTACAACATAATTGCCTCCAGTGTGGAGTTTAACTTTTCACTTTAACACTTCCCAAACCTATATGATTAGTTCTGTGATTGTCTTCGCTTCCACCAATTTGAAATGCTGAAAACAAGGGAAGAGAATTGATGCTCTATCTTGAGCTGCTTTTGATCCCCAAAGAACAAAAATCCCCCTACCCACAAACATTCAAGGGGGCAAGAGTTATATTGAGAAATTGTACATCTTGATATTATTATGTACAAGCTGCCATGATGTTATTGCATCAGATGCTGGGACTTGAGTTCATCATGGCATGACCTGCATTGCCTGTCTGTCATCATTTTGGCATCACCACAGTTTGTGATGTTTCGTCAATACCGTAAACACTAATGTCCCTTTTCCATGCAAGAGGAAAGGAAAAGAAAAGAAATCCATGATATTAAGAAGGACCACAGAATCATCAAACTATTGTTTTCCTTACAAGTCTCGAAGCTCAGGGTCCTGGAAGAGAAGTAAGGGAAAGAGAAACCTGATAATAATCATGCTGCTTTTCACCTGTACTGCAGTTCAGTTGGGAATAAATCAGTTTGATGTAATAGGAACAAAGGATTCCAGGTATGCTTTCAAAATGGTACAGAATCCACATGTGAAAATGTGATATATGGAAATGATTCACTCTAAATTGTCTCTCAAACTGGATTTGCAACTAAAGTTATCTTTACTCTCTGTGTTATTATTATTAGCATAAGGCACTGTGTGTGTATGTGTTTAAAAGGTTACAAAAATCATTTTTATACAAATCAAAATCAAGATGCATCTTCCGCTATAATGTAGGTTTTGCTTATCATCTGTTAGAAAAACAACATAGTGCTTTAAAAAGTATGGCCTGCTTTGGCAAGTGACAGTTCAATGTAACTTTTCCCTGTGAAATACACTGAGAAACATACTCAGTGAAATTCCACTGAGAAATACACTTTTCTCATTGGAACTTATCACCAAAGTTTAAAAGTTTTTCAACTTTTTACCTCATCAGTTCTACTCACAGATTAAGCAAAGGTTGACTTCACAGGTACGAGAGTCAGGCAAATTGAACTGCCTTCCCCTTCAACTGTCAGATCAATTTCCTCCATACTGTTTTCCCAGATTCCAGGATAGCTTTTGTGGTTGGTCTTTTGCCTCAATCATATCTGTGCCTCCCTGTTGCCTTCTGAAAATTTTAACTCTTTATCAGTCCAGCATTCTGCATGATTGTGGCCTACAGATTTCCCTAAGAAGGAGATGGATATAATCTGTTGATTTTCCTATGTATCTATCAAAAACAGTACTTGATTCTCCCAAATTGGTGATGCTCCTTCCAGATATCCTATCAGGAATATGAGGAAGAAGCACTTTGTTAAGTTCGGAAAGAAGGGAGGCCACACCAGAGCTTCAGTCATAACACACGCTTTATTCATGGGAATAAAGGGGGCTGTCGCGTCTGCAGCTAACAGCAGACCTACCAGCGAACAGCGGCTGGCTCAACCTAGCAGCCGGCTTTTATAGCCGACTGTCGAAGGGAGCCAGCCAATGGGGACTAAGAACGCCCCCGTAGGAATTGCGGACCTGATGGAGAACTGGTGTCAGCCCCAAGGACATAACACCCCTTCCCCCCAGATACGAACATGAATAGTCTTTAAGGTATGAAGGCGGTTTGTGTTGTCGCTCTGATCGTCTTAGTTCGGGTGCAGGAGCGGGTGGCACAGAGTTCGGGACAGCGGGGATTTGGTCCCTTAGTAGCTGTCCAGCCACCCGACCTTGCTCGCCGGTCGCCGGCCGGGTTGTCAAGTCGCTGAGGTCTCCCGGTGCGGTAGGGGAGATGCTGGGGATGGATGTTGATTCTGTAGGATGGTCGCGGTCATCCGTCTGCTCTCTCGGTTCGGTTGGTGGAGGCAGGTTATTCTGAATGTCCCAGCTAGGTACCAGATGCGGTGCCTGGAATGTTGCTGCGGTCTCTGGGTCGGTGGTGGCGTGCTCGATCTGCCGGCTCCTCAACTGATCCAGGTGCCTCCGCCAAATGCGCCCGTCTTCTAACTGGACGTGGTACGACCTGGGCCCCGTGATGGCCACGATCTTGCCAGGTACCCACAACGGGTCTCCCGCGTAATTTCTGGCGAAGACTTGATCCTGTAAGACAAAACTCCTGACCCTACTGTTAGACCCAATGGGTGTATCTGGGCAATAGTGAGGGTGCAGCCTGTCTAGTATTGTCCTTAAGCATCTGCCCATCAGTAGCTCTGCCGGTGACTTGTTTGTGACCGTGCATGGGGTCGAGTGTTGGCTTATAAGGAATCTAGAGAGTCTGGAATGCCAGTCATCTTGGGAGAACCTGGCGAGGGCCTCTTTGGTTGTTCTGACTGCTCGTTCGGCCAACCCATTGCTCGAGGGGTGAAAGGGAGCCATTAGGATGTGCTGGATGCCTAGGTTGGTGACATACCGGCTAAAGTCTGTGGACGTAAATTGAGAACCGTTATCCGACACTATGGTGTCTGGGAGACCGTGTGTGACGAACAAACGAGTCAGTGCTTGGGCGATTGCTCGTGTGGTGGTTGAGAGTAGGAGTGCCACATCGATCCACTTAGAAAATGAGTCTACTACTATTAGGAATGTTTTGCCATGGAATGGGCCGGCTAGGTCAACATGTAGACGGGACCATGGTGCGTTGGCGCTTTCCCATTTGGTGGGAGGGGTTGCTGGGGGCGCTGGTCGGGATTCTTGACAGGGACGGCAGGAGCTTACCCATTTTGCAATTTCGTCGTCCATGCCCGGCCACCATACATAGCTCCGTGCCAACGCCTTCATTCGTATAATGCCGGGGTGCCCTTCGTGTAATGCCTTCAGGACGGGTCGGCGCAGTGATTCTGGAATGACAACTCTGGTCTCCCACAGCAGACAACCCTGTAAACTGGAAAGCTCCTGCTGGCGGACTTTAAAGGGTGAAAATTCGTTAGAAGGGTTACTGCCCGGCCACCCCCTCCGTACCCAGTCCAGGACCTGGGCGATCAGTTTGTCCTTCCTTGATTGGAAGGCAATGTCTCTCGCAGTGATTGGAATTCTGAACTCACTGGTGTCAAAGATGGTGTGGACTGGGGCCGGATCTTCCACAGGCGTTGGTAGCGGGCACCGGCTGAGGGCATCTGCATGGCTGAGATTTTTTCCTGGACGGTGCACTAACTTGTATGAATATGCTGCCAGGAATAAAGTCCATCTTGTCATTCGGGGCGACAAGACTTGTGGTGTTTGCTTTTCTCCGGAGAGAAGCCCCAACAACGGTTTGTGGTCTGTAACTAGTTCGAAGTTGTGCCCAAATAGAAATTCATGAAATTTTTTAACAGCTGCTACGGCAGCTAGGGCCTCTTTGTCGATTTGGCTATAGTTGCGTTCTGTCGTTGAAAATGTTCTAGAGAAGAACGCAATGGGGGCTTCAGACCCGTTGGGTAGTCTATGACTTAATACGGCCCCAATTCCGAAAGGCGAGGCATCTGCTGCCAAAACTAGCGGTAGGTTCTGGTTGAATTGGATCAGTACAGCGTCTGAAGTGAGGAGTGACTTGACTGCCCTGAAAGCGTATTCCTCTTTGGGTCCCCAGTGCCATGGAACATTTTTATCTAATAGTCTATGCAGTGGTTCTGCCACTGATGCCTTGTGCAGCAAAAATGATGCATAGAAGTTCAGCAGGCCTAGGAAGGCTTGTAGTTCTGGTTTGGACGCCGGTGTGGGCGCTTCGTGAATGGCTTTAACCTTTGATTCTACCGGGTGGATGCCAGAGGCGTCTATTCGGTACCCGAGAAAGTCCACCTGCTTAGTGGCTATGGTGCATTTTTCTTTTTTTAGTTTGAGGCCATGCTGTCTGAATCTGTCCAACATCCCTCTAACTCTGAGGAAGAGCTGTGTTCTGTCCCGGGCGGAAACCAAGATGTCATCAAAGTACGGAACCACGCCAGGGAGGCCCTGTAGGATCCGTTCCATTAACGACTGGAATATGCCCGGGGCGACACTCACACCAAATTGGAGGCGCTTGCATCGGAAGGCCCCTCTGTGGGTAACAATGGTTTGCAATTCGGCCGTTTGGTTGTCTACAGGAAACTGTTGGTAAGCCTGAGACATATCCAATTTGGCGAATATCTTTCCGGGTTCGAATGTGTGCAGTAAATGCTGGATTACTGGCACTGGGTATGCGCTAGTCTGTAAATAGCAGTTTATTGTGGTCTTGTAATCTGAACACATCCTTATACTACCATCTTTTTTGAGGGGTGTGACAATAGGTGTCTCCCACTTAGCAAAATCCGTGGGTTCGATGACCCCTTGTTTTAACAATTTGTCTAGTTCCGCATCCAGTTTAGAATGCAGAGCGAATGGCACTCTCCGCGGTTTCAAACGGATGGGAACTGCCTGGGGGTCCACTGAGAAAGAAATAGGCATGCCCTTGTAGCACCCCAATTCATCGCTGAAAACGTCAGCGTAATCAGAGAATAGTGAGTCGGTGTCAGAGGACGAGACAGCATGCACCCCTGTTAAGTTAAGGCCAAGAGAGGGGAACCAATCTAACCCCAAAAGACTAGGAAGGGCACCATCAACTACCACTAATGGCAGGTGTCCTTTAAAGGTTCTGAATTTGACTAGGAACTTGCCTGTTCCGATTACTGGAATGTTCTTTCCTTGGTAGTCTCGTAAGGATAGGCGACTCTTCTGCAGCTGTTTCCTGGACAGGCTGGGACGTATCTTCTTGAGCGTGCTCCATGAAATAATCGAGAGCGCTGACCCGGTATCGACCTCCATTAGGCAGGGTTTACCTTCTAAATGAATGGAGAGTTTAATTTTATTGGGTGTTAAGAAGGTATGGTTAGCTTGATAGCATGTAAAACAGTTTTCTACTTGCCTGGATGGCCCCGAGGGGGCGTAAGATGGTGGCTTTTGTGGAGCCACGTGCGCTGCCTGGCACACCCTAGCGATGTGTCCTCTTCTGCTGCAGTTGTTGCAGGTGGCACTTTTGAACCTGCACGTTGCTCTGGCATGGGGACCCCCACAGGAGAGGCACAGCGGGGTGTGCCTGGGTACGTTGCCTTCTCTCGGTCTAGTTCCTACCTGTGGCTGCTTGAATGGTTTGAGAGGGTGCACTTCAGATTGCTCGATGGGCTCTTCCTCGTTCACTGCCTCCTCAGAATGTACAGTGACTGGATTACCTTTGGGGGTGCTTCCCTGTATTTCAGCCGCTGACTGTATTGCCAATTCTGCAGCCAGGGCTTCCTCGATGGCTTGTGCTAGGTTGAGGTCCTTCCTTGCCAACAACCGCCTCTGTAGTCTTGCATCCTTGACCCCGCAGACAAGTTGGTCCAGGAGCATGTCATCCAGGTAGCCTTTGAATTCGCAGTGCAGGGCTGCGGTTCTGAGGGCTGCCATATATTGATTTATGGTTTCTCCCTCCGCTTGCTTCCTCATGCGAAAGGCGAAGCGTCTCGCAATCTGTGACGGTTTTGGCGAATAATGATTGGAGAGGGTCTCCAATAGCTCAGACCATGGAACATTGTTGAGTTCTCTTGGGGCGAACAGTGCTGTTGCCGTGTCGAATATGGTGGCCCCGCAGTAGCTCAGAAAGAAGGACTTCTTTTTGTTGTCTGTAGCGTCAGCCAGACCCACAGCATCAATATAATGGTTAAAACGGTTTTTATACGAGTCCCATTTATCTTCGTCTGGTTTGAAGGGCTGGAACGCCGGATTCGCATTCATGACTGGTTCAGCTTTAGGCAGGTAAAATAAGTCTCACTGGGAAAACAGGCCCTGGAAAGGGTAGCAGCTACAGCTCGTAGTGCTGTTAACGAGTGTTCAGCTTCTGAGTTCTCTCTGGGTTGTACAGGTAGCAGCTGCGCTCGCAGTGCAATTCAGTCTAGTGATTCAGCTCGTGGAATCTCTCTGGGTTTTTCTCGCTCTCTGCAGCCCTTGGCGGCTGGAACAGACGCTATAACTGATGTCTGTTTGAATTTCGCGCCCTTACAAGGGCGAGGCGGCGATGCTGCAGCTGCGCGCTGACAGCGATTTAAATCTCGCGCCTGATTTTAGCGGTCGTGAGCGCCGCGCTAGGGCTTCGCTACACACAATTTCCGGCAAGTTTGCTGTCGGGCGGCTGAGGCTCTCAGTGCCCACTCTCTTGCAGCTATTTGTGATCTTGAGCGGCTGCACGCTCCGCTTCGATTCCTCTCAATGACTGACCGAGCTCTCAACGACGCGGCTACGGTTCAGCGCTTCAGATTCGTGATTTTCAGCTCTCGTATAGCTGCTGGCTGGCCAGATCCCATCCTCGTCGCCAATGTTAAGTTCGGAAAGAAGGGAGGCCACACCAGAGCTTCAGTCATAACACACGCTTTATTCATGGGAATAAAGGGGGCTGTCGCGTCTGCAGCTAACAGCAGACCTACCAGCGAACAGCGGCTGGCTCAACCTAGCAGCCGGCTTTTATAGCCGACTGTCGAATGGAGCCAGCCAATGGGGACTAAGAACGCCCCCGTAGGAATTGCGGACCTGATGGAGAACTGGTGTCAGCCCCAAGGACATAACACACTTGATCTCATAATTTTGCTTCCTTTCTGTTAAATAAAATCCAAAAGCAGGCCTGAGGAGAAGGAGATTCAGCCAATACATTGTTCCAGGGCCCACAGAGCTCAAGGGTGGGGTGGGGGGCATTTAGGGGGAAATTTTTTTACAAAACCAAATTTTTAAAAAGAAAAACAGTGGGATGGTGTGTCAACCTGAATGTGCCTGGGCGGGGGTAGGACAGTGGTGAGTGGGGGGGCTCTCCGCAAAACACTCCAAAGCTGGATCAAATCAACTCCTTGGTGGGCAAACGGCAAGGAAGGAAGGCATGTCCTTCCTGTGCAGCAGTGGCAGCAATGATCGCCCCGTCCTCTACCTCCTCTGCTCCCTTTCTCCCCTTCTTCGCAGTTCTTAAAGAATGGACTTCCATTTCTCACCCTATCGAAATCCTTCACACCAAAAAGAAGGAGGCACCACTGTTAGCTTAGTCAGAGGATCTGTGCACGCCAGCCATGCCAAAGAGTAACTGGCAAGAGAGGTGGCTTTAAAACGCAGGAGGATAAACGGGAGGAAGAGAGGGAGGGCGAGGGAAGCATCACTTTTCTTTCATTCATATAGACTAGAGTCCATTCTTCTCCCAGTCAGAAAAAAAAAAATCTACTTGTGGGCTGCACAGACTCCGGTGCTTCTTCTCCGTACTTCATCCTCAACCTCGCCCCCACTTCCCAATCTTCTTTGATGCCCTGGCAGCCCCCCCCCCCCCCCACTTTTTTTTTTTAAAAAGTCACTCGGTTAGGAGTTACATGATGTTGGTGCAGGAAGTAATGTAAAATCTACAGGCTGGTGGGGAGGGGAGATGTTAACTTAATATGTAGATGAAGGGGCCCATATTAATCTTGTTCCAGCACTTACTAATCCTCTTGGCGGCCCTGTCCAGAGGGAAGATGAGTGATTTTGCTATATACCATTTTACCATAGGATTCATGAAACAGGGCTATTAGAGACTTTTTTGTTCTTCATACTTTGCAAGTCTCCATATTTTCTGAAAAGTCCTATAGCTGCTGTACAATTCTGGGAGCCCGCATATCTTAAAATTGCTGAAGTTGAGAAACACTCTTCTAGAATTTTTGAATGAGATATCATCACTATACACTTTTTTTTCTATTTGAACCATATAAGACAGTGGCTTTTCTGAACACATGTGGTTTTTCTGACAAGGCTTTGATTGTACAATT